AAGTACTATTAAAGTACGAAGGAATGCTCTAATTACATAAGCTTTAATAGACTTAAACAGTGAGTGGTGATTTCTCCCTTTAAGTATTCAATTTACTATAGAAAGGCTAAATTAGGGAGCAGGGAGGATTGGAACAGAGCAATTATTTGCTAGACAAAATAGAACATAGATGTATAAAGAAAATTGAATATACCCAAGTTGGTGAAAGGCAACATAGGAAATGCTTCCACTTAGTTTTGAGGCACCTTATTTCTGAGACCCCCCCCAACATAAAAACATAAGATGAATTTTAACTGCAATGGTTATTTCTGAATAATATCATGTTCTGTTGACATTAGCAGCTGTGAATTTGCAAATTAACTCAATCCAAGAAGGAAAGCAATGTCAGACCACATAAAAATTTTACTTTGCAAGAGAAAACTTGAACCTTGGCAACATTTGACCAGCTCTTAGAAAAAATAACTCTTCTCCTATGTTTGCAAAGCAGCATTACCACTGAAAAAACCCAATTCGCTAACATCACACTTGTACATTCTAGGGTTCTCTCCATGTGACAACATGAGTAATTCACCAAAGAAGTGTCATTTATCCTGGCGCATTTGCTTGAGTTTGGTTCTTTGAAGGCTCGGAAATTTGATTTCATCAGAACACAAACCACAGATTCATTCTTCATGGGTGGACTCGGAAAAACCAAACTCCTAAGATGAATGTATTTGTGCACCCATGGTCATGATAGCATTGTTCAAAACAGCCAAAAAAGTGTGAGAAACACAAGTGTCAACTACAGAATAACAAAACAGAATATGGTATGTATGCATACAATGGAATATTATCTGGCTTTAAAAGGGAAGGGAATTCTGATGCATACTACAATATGGATGCTTGTGAGAAGTGGGAAAAGAGAGGAATGGACAGTTTCAGTTTTGAAGGAAGAAGAGTTCTGCGGATGGGTGGTGGTGATGGCTACACAGTAATGTGAATGTATGCAATGTTGTTGAATTATATGCTGAAAACTATTCAGATGCTAAATTTGATGTATGTATTTTTACCACAATTTAAAAAATTTGGAATTCTTGTTTTTAATTTATAGAGAAAAACAACTGTCACTGGGCCTTGTATATTTGCAGTTGTATAACCAGCCTAGCATTTGTCTATGACAGAGAGAAAAGCTAAATCATAAGTAGTAGGATGCCTGGGGGCAGACTTTAAACAGGGGTACAATGAGTGGGATTTTCAGAGCTCCTGTCCAACACAGATGACAAACCAGTCTCACAAATGGGCACAGACTTGTCAGCAGGGCCATAAGACATGGGTTCTGGAGGCCAGGACTCCTAGTATTCATTTTAACAATAAGACAGCCTTGCCTGGGGTCTTGGCAAAGGTTCCCTCCTGCTAGAAATGGCTAGATTTGCCAAAACCTGCCTGTTTTCTTTCTTCTAAGACTAGCCATTTTGGGGGGATTAACCTAATCTTTCTTTAGCGATGCTAATGTATTCAGTTAGACCACAGTCAAAACTTTCACATCCAGAAGGTATTCTGCTTACAGTGATCTTACAGACTATTGATTTCACTTCAGAGGATCTCTTATTTCCCTTATTTATGAGGTTTCAGGATACATCATTGTAGTGTGCAGGTATTAATATTTAGAGTTCTTGCCCACATGATAGTGAGTAAAATATTTAGTTCAAATCAAACTTTTTTCTGAATTATTTTGTGGGTACCAAGGGGGAGGGGAGGGTCAGCATTCTCTAGATGTCGCCAGTTATGATAGTAAATGATGACAAATACCAAGAGATCTGAAATAGGCAGTATTGAGGAAAGGAGATGAGAGAAAGAAAATAGAAATTAAGTATGAGATAAACAATAGAAGGAAAACAAGAGAAAATAACAGCATCAGTGTTACAAAGTAAATGAATACTATGGAATGCCAGGTGGCTCCCAAATGTTACCAACACAACTCACTGAGAAGATAAAGATGAGTTTATTGCTTATCATGGGAAGAGAAACTACAACTCTGCAGAGTTTTGTATCTCAGAGGGGGGAGTTGGGTTAAAGTGAGCCAATGTGGCACTTGAGGAAGTCTGGGTGATGATCATGATAGATTAGTTTAAGGTTGGAGAAAAGAGCAAGATGACAACTGTGAGGTGAGGACTTCAGAATCTTACCACATAAATTATTCATTGAAATTTTCATAAGTTTTCTGAAAACACTCCTGTGATGAGCAATAAAATAATTTTCTGGAATAGGTCGCTTGAAATTATAAAATTATTCCAATGAAAACAATGGCATAGCAATACCACGTTAAGACCTAAATTGTATAGGGTATTAGGACTCGGTTCTCCATGTAACATGCACATGTATACTACATTGCATGTAACATATTGTCTCAGCTGTTCTATTACCCGACTCCAGAAGCACCATTCACACTGTAGTCCTGTAAATAATGTTCCCTAATGGAGCAACAGCCTTACTGTTTCATGTCATGTACTAGAATACATTTCATGTGGAGTGTAACATACAGTTCAATATATTGTACATGAGATGAATTGTGCATAGTACATGACATATAACATTGAGGATAAGGGAGGAGCACTACAATGGTTTTCACAGTTTAAAAAGTGTTACTCCATGTTTTTGTTTTTCATACAAATGATGGGTTTATCAGACAAGAACTGACTCAGGGAAGTCAGCAGACAGGACTTTTTCAGGTCCCAACATCTAGCAAAACACTTGACACATAACTGGCCAAAAACGTAAGATGGTAAATCAAACTACACTTACCTCTCAATTTTTTACCTGAAATCCGTAACATATTTTTCTAGTAGGGTAATGATAAAGGTAGCTGTCAGCTTTTTGATATGCATAACTTCATTTAGGGCTGTTGAGATGTCTGTGAAGTGCAGCAACCTCCTGCTTGCAAATGCCATGACACCACTCCGTGGGGTTCATCCCATCGTAGACACCTAAGGACATCATGAAGGAGTGAGCCAGATGGACATACGAAAGGAGCCCTCCAGATCTCTGCAGAGGGAGTGGCCTGTGCAAAGCAAAAAGCATGGCTGGCTCGGGAATAAGGTGGAGCTCACTCATTGGATTAGAGGACCAGACAAGACCAGGCTGACAGGTTACAAGGGACACCCTCATGAAATCTCAGAGGATGCACTTGACCTCGGGAGGAAGGGAGAGCATTCGAAAGGTCTTAGATTGTGGATAAATTTGATGAGATTTATGTTTTAGGGAGGACTGCTTGCCTGAGGTGAGTTCTGACAAGGAGCAAGTCACGTAAGAGATGATAACCTGTATTTGGTGGGCTCCTTCTAACATGTCCTCATGGTGCCACACTCATGCTGAAATAGGACTTACATCAAAGGAGATCTTGTTCCACAACATGGAGCACCAAGATACTGACATTGTACCAAATGTCATTGTGTGTGGAGGGAGAACAGGTTACAAAAGAGCAATGCTTTCTTCCAAAACTCCCCACTTACTGTTTTCTATTGCTTTCTCATTCTTCCAGCTAATTCCTTCAATCCTAGATCTTTTGTTCCTCTTCAACTGAGCATCCAACCCTACCCTCTGCTTGCATTTCCCACTCAACAAAACAAAAGCCTAGTCGCTTAAGATCTGTGGCTTGTAAGTTTGCTCCTAGAAGTGGGAGTGATCTCAAGTTAGCCCACAAGAACAAGGACATGCACTAAGGTTGCTGCTGTAGAGCTGGGGAAAACAGGCAAATTTTGTGCAAACAAAAGAATCAGGTTTCAGTACTGGCTGTATCAGAGAGGGAGAAGTCAAGCTGACTTTTTCCCAAAGGCCACTGCCCTTGATCAGGGGTTTACTAATTTTCTGACTTGGGTTTTTTATTGCATTCCCCTAAATGCTATCTTCTGTTCCCTAGTTTCTGTGCAAATGGGTTGGAGCAAGTTTTTCTCCACAATACAGGCCATTCATGGCTCCCAATACTCTCCAAGTAGAGATGACTTTTACGTAGCCCACAAAGACATTTCGTGATAGTCTCTGTCCAGACACATCTCCCACCACACCTACTGGGACTACACTCTCTGGTCTATCTACACTTCAGGATTAAGGATGGAGTTATGGTTTATATATCATCCTCACTTTTATACTGTGCTTTACACACCTAGTCTACTTCTGCTGGCTCTTTCAGACTCTGATCCAACCTCCCTCCCTCAGAGCATTTGTTACACACTCCTGTCTAGGCTGAATGTGACGACTCTTCTCTGAGTGACATTGCATCCATGTTATAGTATAAACTCTCGTTTTCGAACTAGTCCCTTCCTCTCACCTAGACCACAACACTCTGAGGCCAAGGACTGTATCTTCTCCAACTCTGAATATTTGGCATCCAGCTTGGAATTGGCTCATAGGTGTATTTGTTGAATGAATAAATGAAACCAAGATACAGATGATTCTTTCCATTAATGAACATGTCACATTGTGGCAGAGGGCAAAATACTACAGGCTATGACAGATTTCTTTCTCCTAATTTAGTACTGCAAGGAAAAAAAATGTTGATAAAATGAATGTCACCATGAACATTAAGAGACTATGTACTCTTACATTGCCTCCTTCTCCAAATATTTAACTACTATGTGTAGTGCAAGACTCAAAGGTTTAGTCCCAAAGTTAGCAAGAAAACATAGTATCTTGGAGAGTATCTGAAAGTTGTATTTTTATGTAAATACATTCATATCATATCCATCAACGAGCACTTAATTCTTAATTACTTGGGAGCAAATCCAATTAGAAAATTTTGTATTTTCATATCCTTTTCCTCTTTCTTGCTATTTAGAAGAGGACCTACAAAATAAGGTAGGACACAAACTTGTCAGTGTGGTTACCTTTTTCTTTCTATAGTCATAGGAAGAGACTTAACTGAGAGAAAAGTTGAAAATTGTAACAATGCACTTCCATAATGCATCTGAAATTATCTTTGGGGTTTTTTTTAGATTCTGTTAGCAAGAATGATCAGTTTTAAGTAGCAACAATCCATGTATTTTGTTAGCAAGAAGTTCCCCCCACCAAAGTAACAAAAGTAAAAATAAACCAAGGAAACTGCAACAATGTATTTATTGGAAATGAATTAGACATTACAGGAGCCTGATGAAGAGATACAATTCATGGAGCATAACTGGTACATTAAAAAAAAAAATCACAAATGAGAAAGAAATTGACTTTCAAAATAAAATACCGTATCCAAGTCACCTTAATTTCTGAACACCATGATGCAACTTCATAATGTTGACTCAAAACATCCAGAATAAGTGTAATTTAAACTGAAGAGCAGAATAAAAACCCATTTCTTCCCCAACTTGAAAATCCCTTGGCTAAACCCGGGTGTCATACCCAAAAGGCAATTTTTACCACCACAGAGTCAGAAGTTACATCTGTCCTAGTTCTGGTAGGACACAACCTCCTACAAATAGAGAAATTTTCAGGAAATCCAAGCAACAAATCAACTGGTGGCCCCAATGGAATGGGGTCCCTAAAATTAGCATTTCCTAAAACCTAGAAATTACACTAAATTTATTTACTAATAAGACTTTACTGTCTTGTAAGAAACCACCTGGATTAGAGGGCATGCTGATCTGTAAGGAGTCCTTATGGTCACACTGGCTAACAGTAGAAGGGGCTTCAGGAGCTTGTCACTGGCTCATTAAAATTCTCTGAAGCACTTAGAGCTTGATTCTTGTACTCTGTAGTAAATTTCAGTTTGTGTATAGCAAACTCTCTTTGAAGAAAATTACCCCCAAATAATCCATCTGTGAAAACACAAGTACTGCAAAAAAGCAGTCACCATAAACTCTGTTTGGAAAGGCAAAAATTCTGCAACAATTTTCAGAGGCACTGTCGTCTCCGCAATGGAGAATTGCACGTGTACTTCGGAAATTAACTTTCCTTCCCATCCCCAGCATGCATGAATGTCCCCTGATAAGCTATTTGTAGGCAGCGGAAGTTGGGAATCTAAATGCAGAACTGAAGGTTTTAGTTGGATGGGTGCCACTTTCCACTCCCCTCCCAGTGGATTTCAATGGTTTGTTCCTAAACATTTCACAGTTACTCCTAAATTTTCACATGAAAAGGGAAAATGATTAAGCACTTATTCAGTTCTGTCAATTGGCAAAAAAAAGTGTCTCAACACAGTATGTCATCTTTGGAAAATCAATTATACCTGCATTTGCTTATCCTAAGTTGAAGGTAGAGAGAACTAAGTTGAGTACTCTCGTAATTTGGTGGGAAAATGTTGAGTCCCTTCTCACCTGGTAACTCCAGCACCAGGTAACCGTTCACAATTGCAGAATTCAGTTAAATAAAAACATAGAAGGCTAATCTATACAATTTGGGTTCTAAGTTATATTTTCAAGGTCAGATATTTTCAGTTTGATTAACAATGCTGGTCTGATTTGCTATTAATTAGCAACATTCTTCACCTTTAGTTGGGTAGACTCAGTTATGATGTCCTGCTTTCGCCTTACGGATGTCTAAAGCAAAGCCTAACAAAAATCAAAATGCATGGAGATGCAACATGCTAGTTGGCACAAAGCACATGAAAGGACCCAACCTTTCTAGAAGAGCCCACTGGAGTGTGACTAGCCACCAGCCATTTTTCTCAGATAGACAATGTCAGTAGAATTTAAGACAAATATACATAACATCACAGAGATGTTTTCACCTTCCCACCAGTGAGTGAAACATGCTATTCTTTGGAGGAAAAAAAAATACATTCGTTTTTTTCAAGTATATTGCAATATACAAAGATGCTTTAGCTTTGTTTCACTACAAAAACAAAAAAAGATTTCACAAATATCCAAGGGGACTCTCACTTCAACTTCACTTTGGTGTGGATTTCATGAAGTTCTGACAAAAAAAGAAAAGAAAAGAAAAGGAAAGAAAGAAATTGCTGTAAATATATGTCTACTCATTTTATTTGAAAGCATGAGTTCTCTGTGTCCATGTTATATATATGTACATAGGCAGCAAAGACAAGGAAAACCAGTAGGCTTAGGATTGGCATGGTCTGATGAGAGCTACGTCCACCTGCTAATGAGGGACTCAGCACCAGTGCTAGGTGGTTCCACCAGCTTCAGGGTCCAGCTTGGACCAGCAGTACACAGGCTCTTCCTCTCCAGTATTCAAAGGCTATTTCCTGCCGAGGCTGCACATCTTAAGTTATGGCTTATTTCCTGCCTTGGCTTTGTTGTTAGGGTTGCAGTTCAGGTCTCTGAGCAGCGACTCACAGTTGGACAGAGCATCTGCTGGCAATAGCTTCCGGATTTGCTCCACTGTCTTTTGATAAGCCATTTTATCTTGTTCCAGGGTCCGGATTAAAGTCTTCATTTTGGTCTCTCTGGTCAAAAGATTTTCCAGGTTTGATTCCAAGGCTTGGATTTTAGCATGAGCCACCTGTTTGGCAAGGAAAAAAAAAATCCTCCGAATCAAATGTCTGAAGAGTCTGGTTCTTTATTATAGCTTCAGCCAGGCCTCATATGTGTTATTAAACAATTGCATCAACTTGCTTAAAAAATATTATGTGAAGCAAACACTGTGAAAACCTGCATGAAATAGACTTTTAGGCTGCTCAGAAATATAACTCTTTGGCACTTGGGGATGTACTTCAGTGGTAGAGCACTTATCTAGCATGCAAAAGACCCTGGGTTCAATCTCCAGCACCAAAAAATTTAAATTAAATTAAAAAGTATGTATCTCTATTATACTAACAGATTCACCTCTTACTGACTACAACAATAATGCAACACTAACTCTGGCCCCACTGTGCTGGTGTTCTCACTCCATACCCATGGGGTGTCCATAAATGAGGCGGGGTCTGAGCTGGCTGAAGGAAGGAGAGGAGATTTCTGACACTACCTTGCAGTGCTCAAAAAGGCTTCTGCCTTCTGACTCACATTGTTGCTCACAGTTTTACAGGACCAACATGGTTCTGGTTCTGACAAGAGCCTGCCTGACTGTGTCACATACCATCATGGTGGTAGGAGAGGGCTGAAACAGGATAACAACAGGGTGTGATGCTGCATGCCTATAATCCCAGATACTCAAGAGACAGAGAAGACAGGAGGACTGTGATTCAAAACCAGCCCAGGCAGAAAGTTAGCGAAATCCTATCTCAAGAAACAAGCTAGGCATGGTGGTCCCAATGAGGCAAGAGTCAGAGGTAGGAGGATCACCATCTGAGGCCAGCTCTGGGGAAAAGTGTGAGACACTATCTAAGTAAAACTAGATAGAAAAAGAGCTCATGTGATACAGCACTTGCCTAGCAAGAGTGAGGCTCTAAGTTTAAACCCATTACCCCCACCTCCCCAAAAAAAGGGAATTCAGAGAGGCTGGACAGGGATGGCCACTCTTGCTCATTAATAACAAACCTTTTCCAAGAACTAGCCAGAGTCCTATGAAAGCTACCTTAATTCCTTCCATGGGCAGATGCTCAATGACCTCAGGAACCCCCCACATACACACATTAGAATCAGGGTTCTCTAAACATACACATGAGATTCTATCAGTTTTTGTGGGTGCCAGGACTGTTAAGAAACTTGAGGAAACTACATAGAATTGTCATTAAAAACATCTGTAACAAGAACAATCATTAATACAGGTGCAAACTCACATTCCCTAACAAGGAAATGCTTAATGAATCATCGCTGAAATGCACAAATAATAAGGGACAACACAACTGCTTTGGCTTATCTTGTAATAGGAAAAATGAGGACATTCTCTATAAACAAGAGCTGGCATAAGACAAAGTGAAGGAAGTTAAACGCTCCTATTCTTGGGGAACAATTACTTTAGAGACCCTCACTTCTAACCTACTTCATTCCTAGCAGGTCTGGAGCAAGGACTCACCATATAGAAGCAGGCTTTGAGTCCTTTCTAGGTTGGAGACAGGTGCAGTGTTAGGGAAGTAGCAGGTAGGGGGTGTCAGTGAGCAGGAATCAAGCAGCCATTAGGAACTTAAGGTCTAAGTCAGAGTTAATCTTCCCCCAGAAGGTTCACCTGCTGCTATAGCTTGGCTATGGTGTAAGTATCTCCTGCCCCAGGTGCCTGTGTTGGAGGGTTGGTCCTCTGAATGGCAATCTTAGAAGGCAGTGAAACCTTTACCAGATGGGACTTGCTGAATGCTGATGGCTCACACCTGTAATCCTAGCTACTTGGGAGACTCAGGATCAAGGTTCAAGACCAGTCCCAGCAGGACGTTCCTGAGACCCCCCCCCCATTTCTACCAATAGCTGGGCATGTTGGCATGTACTTGTCATGGGAGGTTGAGATGGGGAGGATCACAGTTCCAGGCCAGCCTGGACAAAAAAAGATGGCGAGACCCCATCTTGACAGGAAAATCTGGGTATGAGGGCTTGAAGCTGTCATCCCAGCAATGGTAGGAAACTTAAAATTTTTGCTGCAGCAAAAAGCCTATCTCCCTATCTCCAAAATAACCAAAGGAAAAAGGTCTGAAGGCATGGTTGAAATGGTAGAGTGCCTACCTAGCAAGCTCAAAGCCCTGAGTTCAAACCCCAGTACTGCCAAAAGAAAAAAAAAGACATGGGGTTATTTGGTGGTCCTTTGGTCAATGAGCTTGCTGCCCTTGGAAGGGATTCAGGTAGTTTTCATAGGATCCCAGGAAGCTCTTTCAATAGGGTTATTATCAAAGAGCAAGATTGGCTCCTCCCAAGTCCCTGGATTCCTCCTCACCACGTGATCGCTCCCTCTCTCACCGCCCCCACCCCCAGACCACCTCCCCACCCATGATACCATCTGCCATGTGATGTAGCCAGGGTCATTGCCAGAGCCAGCACCATGCTGTTTAGACTTTCAGCTTCCAGAACTGCAAACTGAATAAACTTCTTTTCTCTATAAGTTACTTACTCTCAGATATTTTGTTGTAGACAGAAAAGAGACTAATATGTTTATTAGACTCTTTTCTCCAGATCATTTTTAAACCCAGGCTTTCAGGGCATGGATTCAGAGCACGTATCATATTAGAGATGCAGAATGTTACTTTGTAATCAGTTTTTATTACATTTGTAAGTGTGTGATTATAAATGAAATGATGTTTAATATTCCCAAATACCCATGTATGGCAGGGACTATGTGTAACATTTTCAGTCAAGTCACTCAGAAATGACTCCATTTCTCTTTTACTCCCATCATTTCTAATTAGACTTTTGCAAACATCTTCTACCTGGCTAACCTATCTTCTCTCTCCAGCCTAATCTGTCTTCACCAATGTTTCTCAAAAACTTTGAGAGTTTCCCTCTCAAAAGGGACGTTTAAGGCCAGGCTCTTACGCTTCACAAAAGACAATCACCTCTAAGTCATCCTCCATCATATTTAACTCACCATTTCCCGACATAAGTCTTGATCCTATACCATGTTCTGCCACAGACCAACACACAGACTCTCCTCACTCACTGCTTCCCCCAACCCTTCAGAGTTCAGCTCAAGCCCAGGCACCTACAACTTCCCCAGTTTCTCATATTTGATTTTCTTTCCTTGAGCTTAACCAAGTATGTACAACATCTAATAGAAATGCAACCAGATTCTGCTTTGAATCACCATTCCACTATTTTGTGAGCATACATTTTCTCTCTCAAGCAAAACTTAAATTCTTAAATACATTTGTAGCTAACAGCACACTTAAACACAATGCGATACCCAGGCCATTGGCCACCAAGGATTCATTCCATGTACACACCCCAATCATTCCCATATGGTTCTGTGCATGCAGGAGGCATTCATATGCTTCTTTGGTCAAACTTTTTTTTTTTTTTTGAGACAGGATACCTTAGCTCAGGCTAGCCTAAAACTCCCAATCCTCCTGCCTCAACCTCCCAAGTGCTGGGATTATAAGTATGGGCTACCATGCCTGGCTGAAATCTTTACTTTCATACCTGTAATTTTTCGAGGAGGTCCATATTCTGTCTCTTCAGTTGGCTGTTGGCCCTCTCCAGCCTCTCTACAGATTCGCTATCCTCGCAGGCATACGAAGACTCTTGAAGCTCATCCTGCAGCACGTGATATTCCACCTCGTAGGCATGTAGCTGTTTGGAAATATCCATCTCAAAAACCTGGCGTGGAAGCACCATGAGTTAGTTTTGCTTTGGCACATACACCAAAATACAAAGTGTGTATGCTGATGGACATGATGTTTATTTCCAAACACTTACTGATCAGGGACACTATACACAAAGGAGGAAACATAGATGTGACTGTCAATACAAGAACAAATTAGATAGAGATTACTCTATCGGTGTAAGAACACGTGGAGTATTTCTACACAACTGAAACATGCTCGTGAGAATAAGTGAGTGTCTGAGGGTATTTTGCAACCAAGATATTCCTACTCTAGAAACTAACTCCTGAAATGAGGTATATAGATAAACAACGTTATTTATTGGGCAACTGTTATCTATGTTATATTATTGTGACTGATTAGTAACCAAAACTGCACAGGTGCTTTCTATAGTACAGAGACCAAAAACATTTCTAATTAATTTGTTCAGGAGAAGAAAACTCTGAATAAATAGCTTCACTCATTTGCTATTCCGTGTGAGCCCCTAGGGAACCATGTAGATATTGTACCACACAGGCAATCGTAAAATTACATACCCTGAGCACAGTCTAGAACTATAGGCTTAATTAGGCCTGCTGTGCCACTCTTCCATGTTATCACCAAAAAAGAAGGAGGCTACTTAGAAGTTAAGAGAACAGGTAACCCCACCCCACCTCTTAGTCTCGACTTCCTGAGGAGAGGGGAGGCAGCAGCTGCCATTCAAGCAATGTTCTATACTGATGCTGTAAAAGAAAAAAAGAATCCACAAAAAACTCTGATTTACCTACTCAAATAAGTAGATTTACCAAGATACTCAAATTAGAGATACTCAAATATTAAAATTTTAATAATAAGGGGATTTCTAGACTACCTGGTCATCCCCTCAAACCTTCCTTGCCTAGTAGGTATGAACACAATGGGCTATTATACAACAATGAAAAATGGTAACATGGACCTGTATTTATTGGTATGGAAAAACATCTAGTATTTTAACATATATTTTAATTAAAAATAAGGTTACACGATAGCATAAAGAGTATGATTTCACTTAAATAAAACTGTATACATATCAATACATGCACATAGCAAAAAATGTAATAGGAAGTTTCAAAGGTTGTCATCACTATTCGTAGTGATATTTCTTCTTTGTGCTTTTCTACACACTTTGCAATTTTTATAATGTCCATAAATAAAGCTTAGGAAGGTCAGCTCATCCCACAGTTAATTAACTCCAATCCTGGTAGTAATCTGTAAAGCCAGCAAGTTCCTCATTAGTTTGGTCTTATTGTCATTGTTTTGTTTTTTTGAGATAGGTCTCACTACATAGCCCAAGCTGACCTCAAAGTCATAAACCTCCCGCCTCAGTCGTCCAAGTGCCTTCATTAATTTTAGAAAAGAGGTAATAACTGACTTCAAATCTCCAAATATACATTCTCTGACTGCTTAGCAGTTAAAAAAGACATTTCTAGCCAGGTATGGTAGTGCATGCCCGTAATCTCAGCACTTAGGAGGCTAAAGCAGGAAGACTGTGAATTCAAGGCCAGCCTGGGTTACACAGTGAGACCTTATTTTTTTTTTAAATGGCTACTTGTGAAGAATTAATGAACAAGTAAATATGTAATTAAAGCTTTACAGTACTTTAACAAATAGAAATGACCGACAGATATTTACAGAATAACCTGCTTGTTATTTAGGTTCCAAGTGATTGAAAGACAATTTTATATGTGATAATGTAAGTATTCATATTATAGTCTGAATTAAGAGTGCCTAAAACACTGAACATTAGTCGTTATTCCCTTTTTATGGGGGAAAAAGTTGAGATTCAGAGAGATTCTAACTTGTTTGAAGTCACACTGCTAGGAGGTGGAGCAGGACACCAGAATAAATTTCACACTCCCCTTCTCTTTTCTAAGCTCTATCTTCTCTGTGCTACCCCATGTGCCACTAGAAAAGGAGAAAACTTGACCGATGCTCACAAAGCATGAACACAGGATCTATAAATTGATCTTCAGCTGTTCACTCACCCAACCAGCCCCAATGTGCACTTTCCACTCTGCCATGTCTCTGTGAAGAGACAGGAACTAGATGCATGTTGGGCAGTTTCCATCCCATTTGCTTCCCAAATCTCTCCTCTGCTCCCATCCACTGCACACCAGGAGGCAGACCCTCTGAATTTCATGCCTAATTTCCTTTCTGGTTGGCTTCTGGTTGGGTTTGGCCAATATGAGGGGGTAGCAGGTCAAAGGAGAAAGAGGAGGGGGTGTTTCTTCCCTTCTTGTTTCGTCAAGAGTACATCATGGCCAGAGCCCCCTGCCCCACAACTGTGGCTTTCACAGGTCCTGGTGATGCTCCTGTGTCCTCCACTTGCTCCCTCAGCACAGGAGGGAACAGTCTCCTGCCGCTCTACCTCCTGGGCACCTGTACGTCAGGTTGAGTTCCCTGTCTGCACCTCTTTAAGCTTCATTTAAGCCACTGGAGGGAGAGTCTGTCTCTTTATTTAAGCTTCACAAAACTCAGGTCAATACTGTGCCATTTTGAAGCTGAGGAAACCAGGATTCAGAAGATGATGGCAATGTGGGCAAGTCAAACAACTCATAAAAGAATCATCGCATGAAGTCAATGAAAGCTGTTTCCTGAACATAGTCAGAAGATGAAAGCCAGCACTCTCTAATTCCAAAGCCTATGCACTTGCCCCATGATCCCTGTGTATTTTATGAAAATTAACAAGATTACAAAGACAAGTGGGCCTCATTTTGTTCTTGAATTTTCCTAATTGTATGAGTTCTATCTGTGGCCTTAGCATTGGTTTAATTTGAAAGGATTCCTCAAAAACTCATGATCCAACACTAAACACATTTCCTGTGCATAACCCCAGGCCCCATAGAAAATGTCACAATGTAGAAACTTATATCTGGTAAAAGTTAAAAAAAAAAAAATCTTGGCTAGGGTTGAAGCTAGGGGTCAATGGTAGAAGGCTTGCCTCCACGTGTGTGACCCTGAGCTCAATCCCAGCATGGGGAAAAAAAAAAAACCCAAAAACTTGAAAAACAAAAGATCTGTCAAGTAAAACTATGTTTTTATGCTAAATCAGTTAGCATGTAACCAATATAGAAACAACTTTATAATCTTATACGATCATTGAAATCATACCTGGGTAATAATTTTTTCCATTTCAGAGGTATTCATATCAGGCAGCGTGTTTTTGAGGAACTCTACAATAGTTTCAAAGTTCTCACACTCCATTATAAGTGTCTCTTGGCTGCTCAGCAAGCTGAGTGCAACCTTAAATATAACTTCAGTTCCCTGAAGAAAAATCATATCTAAAAGAAGAGATATAAATTTCATGGTCAAAGCTATGCATCCATTATTGTAAAAGACACGTTCTTTGTGCTAGAGGAGTTCTTTTGTTTTATTACTGCAGCAGAACCAGAAATAATTTGCAAAAGAAAACCAGTTAAAGCCATTTAGCTTACAGGTCCTATCTGGGGGTTGGTACCATTGGGAGGGGGGATATGAGAAAAAGGTGTAGGAGGGTGAACGCAGTGAAAATATTCTGTACACATGTGTGTAAATGGAAAAATGAGACCTGTTGAAACTATTCCAGGAATAGAGGGAGGAAACATAAAAGACAAAGATGAAGGGATGAATTCAATTATGATATATTATAAGAACTTTTCATAAATGTCACAATATACTCCCAGTACAATAACATGATAATAAAAAATGTAATTTAAAAAAAAGCCATCAAGCTTTTAAAAAATTAGAATGACTGAAATAAACCAATTTTTGAATAGTCCCTTATTTATTAAGAATCTCAGATAAGGCTGGAGGAACAAGGAACATGTTACGTATTGTTTGTAATTTTAATGTAGTGGAGACTAGGTAAACCTCACAGATACTTATTCAACTGATATCTAGAATTTTCTCCCTAACAAAACATAAAAATAAGTCAACTATTCTCTTGTAATGAAAAAGTCAAGGAACCATTTAACATGTAATTAAATCTATTCACAAGCAGGAAATTAAAGGAAAAACATAACCTAAATCAGATGAGAAAAAGAAATGCTGCCCTAATTCTAAACTCTGCTCCCCTACAAATGAAAACATGCAATGATTTTTGAAAAGTAGCAAATGCTTTTATATGGACATTTCTCCTAATATATGCCATTCTTTCATCAACCACATACAAGAAAGTCTTAAAAAGAGAGAAAAATTCTTGCGCAGAATTACTGCAAACTTGCTTCTGTATCTTTCCCTTTCCTGAGTCTCTATCCTTCACTAAATTCAAAGTTAAGAACTGAGCAAGTATTGTACTGCTGACAGCTCCAGTCACAATCTCAGAACAGGAAACAGACTGTTTAAACAGACTACCGTGGACATTTGTTTCTTAAACTCCTAGGTAAGTCAAAAAGAGATGCCTGAAACATCATTTTGATTTCATACAGGAAAATATACATAAAGGGATTTTTAGAAGATCCATTCATAGGGACCTAGATGGCAGAGAAAACGTCACTGGAGAAAGCAATCGTGAATGTTCTGTAAACAAAGAGAAATGTGATAACCGTTTGTTTTACAGCAACTTGGTTTTTATGCGTTAGCTTCATTTTCATCTCGAAACTGTACTCCCACTGCTTGGTGACACTCTCTGGGCCATCTGGTCTTAGAGACTGGTTACTACCCCTGCATTGGCATGAAAGGAGAGTCACTTCATCAATGAAATAGGGTGAAATTTCCTCTGATAACAATGAAAAGAGAAAGGAATGTCATTAGAAATAACAATGAAAATAGGTACTTCCCGGACCCAGCCAGAGAACATGTTTCTCTATGTTTTGAATAAAAGTTTAAAAAGACAATGGGAAAAGAAGCAAAGAGAAAATTATATAAATGTCCAAGCCTATATTTTAAAAATGCATGTTCCGATTCTTATGCATAAATGAAAATGAGAGCTCCATTATAGCTCACTTAAATACAGGAGCCCAACTCTTTCCCATTCAGTTTTATTTTTACTTAGGGCTAATACAGTTTCAAATGACTACCAGAATAGAGCCAGGCACTAGCACTTTGCTATTCTGTGCAATACATGATGGAACCATCAAGACACCACCAGCTAGCAGTACATCCCTGGAATAACAGCAATGTCCCATTTGAGCACAGGCATCTCTTACCGAAAACTCTGGCTACAAATCCTAATGGAAACTGAGAGGCAAATAATGTAAGGAACCAGGGCGCAGCATACAGACTGGGGCTGATCTCATTTTCTTCAAGATGGTTGTAGAGATCTCTGTGGTAGTCATGAAGGAGCCTGGACAGCTGGTACATTTGAATCTAAAGTTCATTCAGAGAGGAAAAATACGTATTAATCTCAGTGCACATAAAATATACTAAATTTTGAATTTCATTATTCTAATATTTAATTATACCTCATACATACTCAATAAATAATAAAAATTCTACGAATTTATTTTTGTTATTACTTTAAAGTTGACATTCAAGTCCAAGTTCACTTAACTGAGTCCATGAAAGAAGTTACTGTAACCCCGTCCAAGCCTCTGGGCGAGGCTTTCTATCATGTGTGCTTGTGTACCATGTGCATACATGGCAAGAGTGCTTTTCTTCTCTTAGAAAGGCATTGCTTTTGGAACTTAACCAGAACTGTCCTGGCTCTGTACTCGCATAGAATGTACCTTCTGATTTCAGACGAATTTTAAAAGAGCCTCCATTTTAAAGACTCTATGGTGTCCAGTACAGAAGCAAATCTTTTCCTATTTGCTGGGCCCAGGATCTGAGTTATGATAGAATTCTGGCTTAGGAAACTCAGCCATTCTGTACTGCTAGGACAGAAGGAAGGCTCAGAATGTCCTGGGGAAAAAGCTTGAGATGTTTATTCCAATATTCAAGTTATTTCAGCAATATATTTTTCATAGCAAAGAAAAGCAAAATATAAAATACAGTTGCTTCTGAATATATCTAGAATCAGAAGAAATTACTTTATTTGGCTACTGAGTTGACTACTGGCATTTCAAAAACATTAAAAAGATATATAAGAACTTTTAAGCTTTAACATCTGTGATGCTAAAGATAAAGCAATTGTAACTGATACACAAATTTGTGAATTTAAATTTTAGCCACACAGTTAACAAACAAGTGGTAGTTCCTTGATCACTTATATAAGCTTGACATTTTGGTATGAAATACACATGATATTTCATTAAATCTAGTAGAATTTCTCTTACTAGAAGATATCCTTAAAATATCATCCTTATATTGATAGCTCTATAAAAACATACAAATAAGCAATTGTATTGTGAATTGAACAATTGTTTTCAAAGCACAAAGCTGAAATTGAGGTGAGTCCTTTGGGGAAAAAATCGTAAGTTTTATACATAAATGCAACAAATTATGTTTGACTCTTATTTACAACACATATCTTTGGAAACTACATTTCCACGCAAACTGTAAAAGAAAGGAATTGGAGCCACAGGAATTCATGGCTACAAAAAAAGCAGCTTAGTTGGTGTCAAACATAAAAGTATTTTTAATGAGATTATTACCTCAGTAAGTCATGATGAGAAAAAAGCCCATACATTTCCTTTAGGCCACTTACAGTTCAGAAACTAGTAAGACTGAGTGTCTATCAACAGAATTAGTATCTTGGTAAGCACAAAAATCAAACAAGTCTACTTAGTAGACAAAAGAAACCATGGTATCAAAGACATCCTGTTCTCCTCGTACAGTTGTGATCATAACAAAGAAGTAAAACTGTACTATTTAATTTTTTAAAGGATCTTACCTTTTTCCCCTATGCCATTTCTTCCATCAAGTTATATTTGGGCACATAAGTAGATAATTCAAGCTTCTTGCAAAGGAAGCTTTAAATATAAAATCCTATTTGCTAAAATAAAATAATTCTTCAATTCTGCTTTATAGATAACATAGTATATCTTCAGAGGGAAGAGACAGAACTGAAGGAAGAAAGCTTCAAAGAAGCCTGGGTGCACACCTATAATCCCAGATTATGGTTTGGGAGAGTCCTTGTCCCAAACCAGCCTGGGCAAAAGTTAACATGAGACCCTATGTGAAAAACAAACTAACGGCAACAGAACCAAGGGTGTGGCTCAAGCAGTAGAGTGCCTGCCTAGCAAGCACATGGTCCTGAGTTCAATCCCCAGTACAGGAGGAAAAAAAAAAAAAGGCAGAGACTTGGGGAAGATGAAAAAAAGAGGAAACCAAATGCCTCAGAGAAAAAAAAGATTTAATGTTTTTATATTTAATACAGAAATCAGTAATCACAAAATGTGATGAGACAGAGATATTTAAAGTTGAGAGAGACCTCAACCCTAGGGAATTGAAAGGACAGAGTGCCCAAGCTCACCAGGAGAGAAGCAAAAAATAGGAAATGACAAGGGAACCCAAGCCCATGGCAGCAAGCAGTTATGCACACTTCTGAGAGCCCTGGTGAATGGACCCAAAACACTAACTTCCTGCTCTAGAAAGTAAAAGGTGTTTCAGCTCACTTTATAAAGTACAAACACCTATGCTACTAAAGATAGATTAGATCTTTAATATTGTAACCTATAAAAATGCTGCCATCAAATATTTACGTCATCTGCATGTTCAAAATGAAAGACCTATCATATTTCTTGGTAATTGAAAGCAATATATAATTAATGTACAAATCCAATTTATGTGAATCTTTGATAAGGCATTTTTTTCCACATTTTTAAGTTTTTATCATCATATTGCTATACTGGGGGCACATTGCGACATTTACAAAAGTGCTCACAATGTATCTTAATGAAATTCACCCCCTCCATCATCATCCTTTCTCTCCTTTCTTAGAATAGTTTCCACATGTCTTATTTTTCCATTTTCATACACGAATACATAAGATTTCTACCACACTCACCCTCTTCCGCCCTTCCCCCCTCCTACTGGTACCAACCCCCAGATAGGATCTGTTTTGCCTTCCTGTCTTTGATGAGGAATTTTTAAATGGAAAACCACTGCATTTTAAAACTGGTCACTTTCTCTCTCTCTCTCTGTCTCTGGAAACATATCAAACACTATTCACAGATGCTTTCTGTTCTCTGAAATTCTAATGGGAGCTACCAAACTGTTGTTTCTGAAACTCAGAGCTATTTAATTCCCCACAAAAGTGCCAATGCTTCCTATCTAATATAAGGTATAGGTGAACTGTTTAAAAATAAAACATTGCACAGCCATCATTTGACCTGTTAAACAGACCTATGAATAGTCACCGACCGGGAATCATATCACTGGATACCAGGAAATCAGGTATCCTGGGGAGCCCTCTCCATATGCATCCTACATGCCTGGGTGTTTAGCAAAAATCCCAAATCCCATACTCAAACAGTGAAATAAAACATACGTATATTCACCCAAGTTCTAAAACCCAGGTCCAAAACTTCCCTACATCTTAACTGTGATGCAGAAGAGGGCCGGTGACAAGATTCTGCTAAGAGCCACTGCTTCCTTAGTGAAGAGCCACCTCACCTGCAGCGACATCATGTCGGGTCTGTACTGCTTGCGGAAGCCCAGGTCATACATGAGGAACTTCAGCATCTCAAAGGCTTGATCTTCACTCATGTGCAGAAGCAGCACTCCAGCCACAAAGCTGATCCCCTGACAGTAGCCTACTTCCTTGTCCAGCAGAGAATATGCTTTCAGGAGGTTAAAGAGGGACAGCTGCCCTGCCCCAAGCTGTACGGAAAAGTAAGGGTGAGTAGGAAATGTCCTGCCTGCAGAGGGAAAGAAGACAATGACTTTGGAGATGCTCCGATACTTTGGAGACCAGCATGAAAATGCAATGCAGTGAACTCCGGGGTAAATGGAATATTCATTTAAGAGTCTCTCTCTCGCTCGCTCAAGTCCTACCTGCCAAATTACCATCCCATCTCCACATGTATGATACAGGAACATTTTATGCAGATCAACACATGTTTCTGGCAAACAATAAAATACAATAAAAATTCACACACCAACAACATATCCTGGAAAGACCACAGGAGGGCAGAACATAAAATTTATTCCGACTACTAATCAAGGCAAATTCTAAATTCATATAAAGACCACTCTTTAACTGAAATCATAATTCTGTAAGTTATCATATTATTTAAAAGGACATCTTAGTAGTCCATAAACAGATAAATTCTAGTTTTTATTTATTTTTTTTTTTAGTATGACACTAGAGGGACGTTTTAGTTTTGTTTTGCTTTATATTCTGTCTATCATTTAGGAAATGTTTCTTTTTCAAATAGTCTTTGCTCTATATTTTTTAAAATACCTCCAGGAAACATGCAGACCACTTTTCTTTTTTCAATTATCTCCAAGGGGGATAAAGAGAGTCAAAGGTCAAGCTGATTTCAAGCACTTCCCTCTAAAATTTACCACTGAATATAAAATGACCATGGAGACACAAGCTAAGAAACAAATGTCTCTACAAAGCCAAGGACAAGGTACTGAAACAGGCCCAAAACTGCTTCTGTTGGCTCAGGGCTTTCCTTGTGCCACAAAAATGCAGGGGATGTTAGCTTCCTTGTGAAACCATTACCCCTGTCAGTTAGAATCTGCAAGAATGCCAGATTTTAACATGTTTTCCACCACATAGGCTTAAAAGTGATTTTTTTTCCAGGAACTGATAAGATTAATTCTGCAGAGTAAGGGAAAGAAATGGAAAATAACAAGAATATGCTGCAGAAACACAGATGGCTACAAGTAGAGTCAAATAAGCAATTTTTTAAATTACCATTTTTCTTTCTCCCTTAACATTTTTCTAAAGAAAACTAAAATACACTGTTTATTCAAGAAGTGGACTCTAGCTCCACTTTTGTCTGACCAGCCTTTTCCTGTAACCTGACCTCATCGTTTTCCTCTCCATTAGGACATCTGGACTAACCCGATCACAACACCTCAGTCCCGGGCCTCATCATCAGTTTATAGTTCACAGAACCATAGCTATCCATGGGGACATAAGGACTGCCAAGCCCAATGTCCCCGTTTAACAGAGAGGCCTGAGACCTAGAAGCAAAGTAATCTACGACCACACAGTCAGTGGTAGACTCAGGATAAGGACTCGTTTTTCCATAAAATTTCCATTTTGTTTCTACTGGGTTCAAAAAGTGTTTAATTGAGCTGGGTCCTTTCCCAAGAAAAATCGTCACTCAAAATAAATGGAGGTAAAAAGTTTTGGCCAGTGATTTTTTTTTTTAATATATGCCCTAATGTAAGACGACCCCAACTATAAGATACTCCCCTATTTACCCCAATGGGTTCAAATCACCTTTTGGGAGTTTGGATGAAATAATCAAATGCCCACATCCAATATTTACATATCTTAAAATAATAAAATGTGTATAATGATATGGTTTTAGAAAAAAAATAGATAACATAATTTTTACAACCAAACCATTTTCACTTCCCATTGTTTAATGTTTTCCACTTAAAAGACTTATGGATGCTGTCACTGGAAACTCTCCCCAGGTCAAAAGTACCCACTCATACACCACTGAATCAGCTAATCTTGCATATATCCTACAGGTAGGAGGTCACAATTTCTATAACATAAACACCTTAATGTATTGTTTTTATCCCCTGGGGGCCTAAAAAGTGGCCACCCTCCTTGTAAACAGCAGGCTGGGCCCAGCTGTTGCCCACTTGGTCTCTGCCTTCAGGCTTGCCAGCAGCTACTCAGTCACTCCTAACTCCACATTATGACCACTGTATTGCTTTTTTGTATGTTATGTACTCTGATCACATCCATCCCACAGCTTGTTTTCAGCAACACATCTATGAATTCCTGATGTACCTTCCCTAAACATTTTGGGACCCATGTAATCTATTTCAAAACCTGCCCTGACTAAGCTATGGTTGTCGATCTAAACAACTCAGTTGTTCAAAATACAGTGACTGAGAGCACCCCATATTATAATCCTTTACAGTGATTCCTTTCTCAGAGGGAAAGTTTTGGGATGAACACATCATTTATAACTCAAGCATTTACGGTAAAAAAGTGCTTCAATAATCTATAAGACCAACTTACCCCAAAAAAGGAAGTCAGCAGTTCTACAGATGTCAACAGAGCCTCTTTATCAACACCATGAACACCTCAAAACATCAAGAACAACAAACGCCAACACCTATTCAGTTTTGTGATTTGCAACCAGTATGCCAAACATACCCAAATCCACGAGAATGGCGTGCTGCTGAGCAGTGAGCTGCTTCAGAAGCTCCTTATACGACATGTCGGGAGGTTGGTGTTTATTGGGCAGTCTGTGCCTTAGACGGTATTGTAAAGCCAGAAACTGCCAAATTTCTCCTCGTCGACTTTTAGGAACACCTACAGTCAAAGAAACAAAAGAGCAGGCCTTGAACTCTGGAATGAAGTTGCTAAATCACCACTGAGGAACTGCCTAATTCTTGAAAATAGGCAGCTGTCACCTGCAGTTCACATAGTAGGACACACTGATGGAAACACAGTGTGACAAGTTTAACCCTAGGGTTCCAGACATCTTGTGAACAGAACCGTCAAATAACAACAATAATAATGCGACACTAACAATAACATCAACCAACACGGATTGAACACCTAATAAAAGATTTATCGAGGCTGCCTTAACTGCTGATTATTGGACATGTGCTCAGAGAGCTACCTAGGATGTAGGTGATCAAAATTACTTCCACTTTACAGACAGTAAAGCTGAGGCAGAAAGAGATTAAGAGAGCTGCTCAAGTTCACACAGCAGGTGAAGTGGCAATATTGAATTAGAGCTCTGAAAGTCTGGTTTCAGAAGCCAAATCCTGAAATGCCGGATGGTATGGTTGCCTATTCTCGCTTTTTTATTTGGCTTGACGATAGCAACAAATGCTAATCCTCATTGTAAATATGTGTCACCCACAAGAACTTTAAAAGAGGGAAGAGGGCGGGAGGAGGGGGGAGGTGGTCCAAACAATGTATACACATGTCAATGTAAAAATGATAAAATAAAAGAAAAAGAACTTTAATAGATAATTAAAGATAATTCAAGACCGTTCTTCTATGGTCATAAAACAATGACCATGTATCTTCTCTGAGAGAGAATAGGACTCCCAGGCAAGGACTATGGGCAACCAACACTTCACAAAGAGGAGCCTGTGAAAGCCCTGAAGAGCAGCAGAGAAAAGGGAGGAGAAAAGAGGAGCCAGAAGAGGAGGGGATGGAAAGAAACAGAGCCGGGAAAGGGGGAGAAGGTAGACAGACAGGTGAGAAAGAAAGAGTGGAGGGAGGGATGGAATACTCCACACAAGAACTAGCCTGGGATGCACTGGCACCCAAAGAAGCCCAGCCTCCCTGGCGGATACAATCCCAAGGAAAGAAGAAGCAGAACACGAGATCAGAGAGGGGGAGGAAGGGAAGACTGTGGGGGCCTTGGGTACCTGCGAGGAAGTTTAAACTGTACCTGTAAGGAATGGGAAGATGAGCACACCTACACATCTTTGAAAGTCAGACCAAAGAATGTGAGAGCTACAGCTCACACACATTTCACTAACTACTGTTTTGTCTCCCACATTCAGTGGAAATCTTTAGGATTTACAAATCTTCCAGAAAAGAGGACATATGACACTTGTAAATGTGGTATCTTACAAAACATATTTTACCTTAATCTAAACTTACCTATGTAACACTTTCAAACATTATCATAGAGTGGTGGGTGTTTTTGTTTTTGAAGACTTACAAAGGTTTATTTAGTAAAGCGGGGAAAAATAGAAAGGAAGAAAGGTGCACACCCTGATGTAAAGGGGGTGGGAGCAGAAAGGCTCCTATCATAGGCTTTTAAAACACATCCGGTTATCAGACTTTTGGGGCGTTTTTTGGAATTTTTATTCTATACCCAAATTGTGCAGGCCATGAGACTATCATTTAAATATTCCATCTGGGTCACAAAAATTGCATCCCAAATGCTCATATATTAACTTTAATTTTAAATTTAAAATGTGCAAGTATCAAAAAACAATAAAACAGTAAATACATCATAATAGCTAAGTAAGAGCAATTTCCCCAAAACAAATGAATGACTAGAAAAAGGGAAATCTGTTGATAATCAGAATATAAATTTGTATAAATACATATATCATGGATATATAAACACATTCATATAAATGTACACATACACATAAACAAATACTTCTGACCAAATGATGGAAATGAGTCAAATCTATAAGCCTGAACTGTTCTGATCACTATGGCAGTGATATCAAAGATTTGTACCAAAGCACACACTTCTTCCTCAGTAAACAACAAAGAGCTGAAAAGAGCTGCTGAAGTAGCAGGAGAGTCTGCAGAAGAGGGGTCTGTCACCTCTTCAGTGACAAAATCTCTACTGCCACCATTTTATTATCAATTATGTCACCCAGTTACAGGTAGAAACAAATTACTCTCATTTCTTTATAAGCAAATCACAAAGACAAAAACATGCCTGTGCTGCACAAACTTTTAAAAATATCTGAGGCTTTCCTTATTTAAAAAAAGATTTGAAATTAGTGCAAATACCTTCTTTCAGAGAAGTATGGATATCTTCCATATCACATCTGATTTTAGCTCTGCAGTTTAACAACTTCTTATCCCAGGTTATCAAGACTTCCTTCTGACACACACCAACTTCTTCATAGTCTAACTTAATTTTTCTAGACTGGAGTTCATCTCTTCTTGCTTAAAAAAAAAAAAAGAAAGGAAAAGATTTATTAAGACCAATGTGTTTGTAAAACAATATTTTAAACATTGTATGTATAGTTAAAACTACATCCAATTGCTTTTAGGAATCAACCACTAATATTTACTCAAAAACATAACTTTTAAAAAACAAAGACAATATGAAAGTTTCTCAAACTTTGAGTCATTTGATGTGAGAAAATATAAGTAGTAACTTTCTAAGGTGGTCCTATTCTATCTTTTATGTGGTTAATTTTAGTAAGCCTAAAAAAATTGGCTATGCTATAAATTTCAACTTTTGGACAAATGTGACAGCCTCAGATGTGATACTTCATAACATGTTAATTACATTACAGTGTAATATTTTATATATGTCACATGAGAAGATAGTACCTCATGCTACCCATAAGTTGAAGAACACAATAACCTCACACATTCCAGAGTCATCCACACTGCCCTCAACACTAGGTTAAATAGTCCTGTGTTCATTTTGAATAGCTTTTGGGGGTCTGGGGGCTAGGTATTGAACCCAGGACCTTCACATGCTAAGCACATGCTCCACCACTGAGCTGCACCCCAGTCCCCATTGTGAATAGTCTTAAAAAAAGAAAATTCATTTCACTGAAGCTAACACAAATTGCAGTTTTTAAATAATATAGAATTCTCATTTGGTGATCTAAAATACAAGCTCAAAGCTCATTTAAAGAAAGGTCCACAAAAGAAACCACTATGTTGACTTATCTTTATCTTGAGTAAAGAAACAGGGATATATAAGTGCACTTCCTGTTTGTCACTAGGATCCCTAGAGAGGACTGTCAGAGTGACCTGGGGCTCCAGGTGCTCCACTGGTCACCTTACCTTCTGCAACACAAATCTTTGTCATGTATCCAAAGTCCTCGATAGCAGAAAAACAACAACAGGAATGGATGTTATCTTTACTTATTATGCTTGAAACCATTTCTCAAGACTTAAAATACCTTAAAACAGACTGTTCTGTAAGCAGAACAGTAAAAATCCCCACTTAAATGTCTACACATATTCCAAAAAAAAAAATCACACTGAAAAAAAGATTCCCTGAGCTACCACTAGATGGCTCTCTAACACAGGTTAGCCTTGCCTTGCTTTGCAGTCTGCTTTCTGCTCTTCTAAGTATTTTTTAAAAGACTAAGTTTATTAAAGCTAATAGTAAATACAATTGATCATTCAGCTTTACTAGTGATCTGCTTCACAGAAAATAACGCAAAACATTTCTTTGGATTGTTTTCTCCAATTTTCTCTGTGTCACTGTGCGTTTAAAATAATCTTAAGCACCTACTCTAAGACTGAGGATAAAATGGGTAGTAAGAATAGGTAGTATTTGTCCTACCTGAACTGATAACTATAAAGAACCTTCAAGAGTCTGGGTTGGTGGCTAACACCCAGCTACTTGGGAGGTGAAAATCAGGAGGCTTATGGTTCAAAGCCAGCCCAGGCAAAAAGTTTGGAGACCCCCATCTAAACCAGTAAAACTGGGTATGGTGGTGCATACCTGTCATCCCAGATGCATGGAAAATGTAAACAGTAGAATTGTGGCCTAGGTCTGCCCAGGCATAAATATGAGACCTTACTGAAAAAACACCTAAAGCAAAAAGGACTAAGGGAATGGCTTATGGAGCAGAGTATCCTGAGTTCAAACTCCACAGCAATCAAAAAAAAGAAAAAAAAGAGTCTTGAAAAAAAAAAAAACGGTTATAAGCTACTTTCTTCTTTGTTACTTAAGTTCCAAAATAAACATAAAAGTGGGGCTAGGTACAGTGGTTCATGCCTGTAATCCCAGCTTCTCACCTGTTGTTCCAGCCACTCAGGAGGAGGATCACAGTCCGAGGCCAGCCAAGCAAAAAAAGCACTAGACCCTATCTGAAAAATGACTAAAGCAAAAAAGGGCTGGGGGCACAGCTAAGCTGTGCTTGCCTAACAAAGAAAGGCCCTGAGTTCAAACTCCAGTACAGTCAAAAAAAAAAAAAGTAAATATAAAGGTAAAGGTTTCTGAGAACATATTCTGAACATCAGCTCCTTTCTCATCCTGTAAAATTGTGTAATATAACTAACCTCAGAATAGGCATCTAACCATTTGTATTCAAAACTCCATTTTTTATATTACCATGCACATCTGAGAATGACTGCCATTCCTGGGCTCCGGACTTGCTCCACTTGTCCCACTGTTTGGCCTGAGCTCAATTCCTTAGCTTCCCCACAGCTGGCTCTAACTGGACTATAGCTAAACATCCCGAAGGCCATTTCCCATTCAAATCCACAGACTCTAAATCTATCCTTTGATGGTTGATACAAGATTTTATTTGAACATACTCCCAAATGAAGTATAATTTCATGCTTTAAACATTTTGAGGGAATGGTAACCATCTGTTTGTCAACCTCTTTTCTGTTTGAGTTAGTCAAGATGTAACCAATTGCTTAAAAATATAAATTCAATTCCTGCTGAGGTCATTGAAAGCTCAAGGATACTGGCACAATAGCTATCATTAATTATTGGATTTGGGATGTTTTAAATAGAAAATTTACAAAGCATTAAAAATAAGAAATGATATAACAAATTAATTATAATCAAACAGTTGAATTGGATATAATCGAAACAGAATTTGTTTGAAATAGGCATATTTCTTCCATGATAGAATATCATTAACCTGAAAGCTGAAAATCACATTCAAAATGAAGCAACTTTGCCTTTTCACATTTAAAGGTTTTTTCTTAAGTAATGCACAATGATATTAAATTTTCACCCACAGCAAATACACTGATTCTGTGTTATCTACACTCCTTATTACCCAAATACACTCTACAGGCTTCTGGTATTTTCACTCTATTAAACAAAAAGGTAAATACCTCAAGCCGATCTTTCTCAAGTCACAAAAACAGGAATAAATTACTCACAAAATAGAAGTGATTCTATCACTAGGTATTATAGTCAAAGTGGACACGCAGTCCAAGAACGAGTGTGAGCACACAGGAAGCACACAGGCCTGTTTCAACAGCTGACCTTCAAGCTTCTGGTTTTCTTTCTCCATTCGAAGCAACAAGATTTGTTGATGGATAGCTTTCTTCCACAAACTCTTTAGTTCTTTTGACTTCCTTTTCTCTTCAACCTTTTCTGGGTCATCGTCACCAGACAAGAATATAACCAGGGGCTCCTCGTCCATGGTGGGGGTGAGAGGTGACAGTGGTAGCAGCTCATTCCTGTCCAGTCCCTCTGCAGAGAAGACAATGGTGAGAGGCATTCCTGAGTCCTCACCCAGACCGTAGGAGTTTTCTCTAGAGCTGACACTCCCTCAGCTTAGGCTTCCATGCTTAAAGGTGTGCAAAGAGCCACTTTCCCAGTAAGTACTAGTTTCTGGAACTCGTGATTTGAGTAAATTCTGTAGATTGAATTCCCCTTTCAGATTTCCCTCTTGCAGTGAAACAAGTGCCTATGTCATTTCACCACTTCTTCTTTCTATACAAAAGACCTGTAAGAGAGCTACTCCAAAATGAACTGGTCTTTCCCCAGAGTCCCACACTTCTGCAATCCATCTGTGTTTATTCTCTGGTTGTACAAAACAGGATGGTGGGGGTAGCTAGTAATGATCTCCTAAGCTCCACATCTACCATCTGAGCCTCTTGGAAGAGCACAGCTGAGCCATGCTGGCACCACAGGCCTGCTGCTAGCTCCCCTACAAAATCTCAACTGACCTCCTGGAACTCAGCCTCACCCTTTCCCATATGCAAATTATCTTCCTATCAACAAACATAGTCACATCTCTTAGAACATTTCAATGATTGTCTACATATCTCAGAGAACAGCGTGCAGACTCTGGGGAATTAGCATGTAAATGCCCCCATCAGACTCTCTTCAAGTCACCTTTCCATTCTTAGGTCTCCATGTCCCATCCTGTGCACCCTTCTGCTAAGTTTCCCACAATCTTCTCACCTGCAGCATTCTCTCACATCACTCTAGAACTCTACTGAGACATGTTTCTCAACCATGAGGATACATATTTTTCTCTGAAGCTGTTTGTGGCCATACTAGGCAAACTTAATTTATCTTTAGTAATGTCTTTTACTTTTTGTAATTCATCAGCCTCTGCTCTTACCCTCATTACTTATTTACTTGTGGTTTTACTGGGTTTATTCTATTTTATGGCTCTGTTCTAGCTTCTTGTGTTGAACACTCAGTACACCTGATTTTTAAATTTTTTTCGTTTGCCTTTTTTTTTTTTTGGTTTCAGGTGAATGCATCTGTGGCTATGAATTGCCTTTGAAATCCACACAATTGTGAAATGCAGAGTGAGGATCAGCACATTTCTTCTAATTTCTAGAAGTACAGGTTTCTAAAACATGAAATTTTCAATTGTCTTTTTCTTTGCAGTACTGGAGGTGGAACTAGGACCTCCATGCATGCTAGGCAGGTGCTCTACCACTGAGCTATACACCCCCAGCCACAGATGTCTTCTAGTCCTTTCTTCCCTTCTTTCCTTTCCTGTCCCCTCCTCCCTTCTTTCCTCTCTTCTTCCCTCCCTCCCTCCCTTCCTTCCTCAACACTATAGTCAGAGAATATAGTACCCATAATCATAATTTTGTGAAATTTATTAAGATATCTTTCACCAAGTACATAATTTTTATAAATGTTCTACATGTGCTAAAAATGGACAAATTTTTTCTACAGAGACCTAAATAAACATTAGATGAAGTTTGTTCAATAGTGCTATTCAAATATTATCTATATGTAACTTTATTTAATTTTCAGAGAGGAATATGTAAAATCTCCTGTGAGAGCAACTGATTTTTTAAAAAAATTTCTCCTTGAAATTCTTTTCAGTATCATTTCTTAGTCCTCAAGACTACATTATAAAGCAGGTCCTCATTACAGTCACACCTTTGTGCCTGCTGTTACAGGTACTTCGCCCCTTTGGATACCTTTTCTGTCATTTCTAATAGGTCCAACATTCAGTGAAAGCTACCATACTCTTTTGGTTGAATGTGCCTAGTGTAATATATCTATTTCTTTATCATTTAGCATTTCTTGATAGGTAGCAGTTAGACATAAGCAGTGGCCACAAGAGGAAGAAAGGAAAAAAATCATTATAATTCAATTTCCCAACTCCACTATTCTCTATTAAGATCAGGTAGCCAGAGCCCAGGGGTTATCATAGGATGCTTTGAAGTTGGCCTCTAACCTAACAATCCACTCTTTACCCAGAGTAATCTACATCCTAAATGTCACATAGGCCTGGCACTAGGAGTTTCATAGGTAAATTCAACAAAACAAAGACCCAGACATAAAAAAGAATGAGATAGAGCTCTTAAAAAAGAAATTCTCTACCAATTAGAGCAGGAACTGGTTGTTTGCACACTGTCTCTCTTAAGTTTCTCAATAAATATTCCAACTTTAGAACCTGACGTATCATTTTCTCCCTTGAGGAGACGGCTCTCAGTCTGTTGAAAGTGTATTTCTTTCTAATAAACTTTACTGATAGTTTTATTACAATCTTTGTGTCATACTTGAATTCTTCTTCTGCAGGACACAAGAACCAAGATATTTATTAGTGCTATTTTTCTGGTAATATTGTCACTTTTATTTTATGTGTGACACTTATGAAGGATGATATTCTGTATTGATTTCCTTATAATTAAAAAAAAAAAATCTGTGACTTTTTTCCACTACCATCATAGCTTTCTATGCATTGTGGAATGGGCCCCAAAACAGGTTTGGAAAACTCACTCACTCACTCACTCACTCACTAAGAGGGCACGAGTGTCTAAACTGATACTGGAACAGTAAACCGTTGCATCACATTCAGAAAAATAAGTTATTTTTCCACTGCAACATTTTAAATCTCTTCATATACAAAGCATTTTCATCCTTCTCTCTGGTTTATGACACTGAGAAGGGGAAATTCCTTCCCGATTGCCACACAGACCTTTTTCCTGCATTGCTGAAGGAGATTTGTTCATGGGAGATGCCACCCGGAGGAAAATGCGCTGGCGCCAGGAGATTCTGCGAGGAGTGACAGGGGTTCTTCCAACGTTCAGGGACTCATTGCTACAGGTGGATGAGGTCCTTTTCCTCCCTTCTCCATCACTGTAGAACGCCAATAAACGTATATATATGTGTATATATATATACACATATATATATATAAAGTGTAAGGAAATTTGCATAGCACAGTACTGCACAAAGAAATGTTCACATAAGCCATTCTCAGTTCTGCCATGGGCAGGCACAAGCAACACGGAGCAAGGCATCACCAGTCACCCAGGCCATCACATCCTGGGGAAACTGCATTCCAGGCCCCAGAAGCTCACCTGTTTCTACTCATTCCTTAATAGCCACCCAGTCCTGGTTCTAATCTGAGGAACAGAAGTTCTTTTGTAGAGGAGGAAGTATTTCCTAAGACATGAACTTGTGCTTTGCCAAAGAAATAAAACAATTTACCTACACAATGTAAATATTCCACAAAATGCTTAGGAAGAGCTCTTCTTGTGATATAGAACACGCTGGCAAAGACAGCTTCCAACTGTCTCTGACTGTTAAGATCTGCCTACAAATTGTTAGTGACCAATAGCTGGGTCATGGCAGAAAACAATCTGAATAAAAGCAGAATAATCAACCTTGGGATTATTATTAGGTGACATATTAAAAAACAAACAAACAAATAAACTGGGGTTAAAGAAGATTAGGTAGGCTAAGAACAAAAAAATTAACCAGATTTCTTTACAGCAGGACTTGTTAATATGATGGCATGCATTGGGACTCTCCATTGAGGGAAAAGTGACAGAAATTCTCTTGCTTAAATTAACTGGCTAAGACTTACCACACTCCCAATTTTTTGTGGAGGAGGGGAAGGGGAGAATATCCCATCATTCTACATTAATGCCTTGTGAAATTAACATGTGGAGATACTGGTCTGCTCTAAAAATTGAATTTCCTAAGAAAAGTCCACCCTGAGCAACGGAAGTTCAGTATGAGTCAAGCTACCTTTGGGACCAAATCATCTGTAGCCAGGAGACTATGAAATAATTGTTGCAGTCAGGGGCAGGAATATCTTACTTTCACAGCCTTTGAGCTTTCCTGGGAGAATGATGAGGACAGCAATGTTTCCAGGCAGTGATACCCACAAGGGAAGGTATAGGGCTTTTGATGGAATCAAGAAGTTGGTCTTAGGTCAGAAATGAAACTCAGCTAGAAAAGCCACAGACCTCTCAGACACTCAGAGGATCTCAGAAGTGCCAAGGTAACTGTATTCGAAGAGCAATCAAACTCGCCCAATGGACTTTTAGGTCATTTATATATTCACGCCTACAATCATCAGGCAGTTCAGTCATTTCTAACCTGGATCTATCCTCCTATAAATGTTAGCTTTGAATCCGTTAAATTAAGGACATACCCTTGTGCTGAGCTGCAGGCAGCAAGTGTCCTGCTGTGGTGATATTTTAGAAAGTTGCCTACGCACAAGTCTCCACAGCCACACCCCTTTGTTATGTATCCTGGATAAAATTATAACCCTACTTACTACATTCCAATGGCCGGTGCCCAAAACTTCCTGCAATACTGAATTAACAGGTTTGCCAATACTTCTGCTTCGGGAAACAGAAGTTCAAGTGTGATTGGAGCGGTTTCTGTACAATATGCATATTATAGTGAACAAAAAAGTAGTCTGTGCAACACTACCTCACCAGAACTGTTTGCTAAATACCCAGCTCATGGGTATATTGCTAGTTTCTAGTGTAGTAATGGGTAAATGATAAGTACTAAACAAATAACTACTGACTCAATGAGTATTTTATAAAGCCATATGAAATACTAATTTTAGAAGGCTAAGTAAAATGTAATCTCAAGTAGAAGAGAGGCTATAAGATCGTGGTCTGAGGCCAGCTCCAAGCAAAAAGGCAAGAACTTACCTAAAAAATAACTAAAGAAAAGAAAGCAGTGGAGGGTGTGGCTCAAGTAGTAGAGTTCCTGCCTAACAAGCACAAGGCCCTGAGTTCAAACCTGAGAACCAACACAGAAAAGAAAAAAAACAAAGAAAAGGAAATTTCACTGTATCTAAAATTTTCAACCATGTAATATCAACTGGCAAATGATAAATTTCCCTACCATATCTATAATTTAACAGCTAGTAATACCCCAAAATTAACAGACAAAATATACACCAAAAAGAAGAATTTACATACTAAACCTTATGTTGCACTAAAAACCTACACTCTCAAAAAGCAGTTTGGTTACTGAGATAAAGTGAAAGTTGGTTGGCTTCATTTAATAAGAGAAGACATGAACTTGGAAGTCGAGTTACAAGTAAGGGTTCAACCAAACAGTCCACGTGTGCAACTTGCACCTGCTCACTGATTGACATTCAGCCAGCAATCTGACAGTCTTAAGGTGACAACCTGAAGAACCCACACCACATGAAACCCTCTTCAAAATTCCTATATCTTGACTTGGACATGGAGCATTCAAATCGGGGAGCGGAATTTACTTTCTCCTTTCTTTTGTTTCTTTTGTTACGTTAGTCTTCACTTTAACTTTTCCTTTAGACTTAGCATGGAGGCCAAGAATAGTGTCTACTTTTTGGGTGAAAATAAAAACAGCATGTGGTGTTCTCTATAGTAGTAATAAGAATGCTAGGAATCACAAAAGGCAAAGTAAGAATTTCATCCTCATAGCAACCACAGGTGGTGGGTGTAATTACTATTCCCATTTTGGTGAGAAACTTGAAGTATGAAGATGAGTAACTTGCTCATAGTTGCACAGACAGCAAGTGAAAGAAGCCAAGACACAAACCCAGGCACCGTGGCTTATCCTGCCAGTGCAGAGAGTCTGTATTTGTTCCTACCCAGTTCTACAGGAACTACAAAACGAAGCTGTCACAATGCCCAGGATTCTCTGTCTTTTTTTTGTGGAAAAAAAAATCAGTCTCTAATTAGCATTAAGTCTTTTAGTTATAAACTCTTTCCACCTTTTAATAGAATAGTTGATTCCTACAGCGAAATGACTTCAAAGTAATATTAGGTGCTTTATTTCTGTAAATGTCTCACTTCTATTTCTGTGCCTTGAAATAAATGCAATTCAAAATGTATATACCTACGTGAATAGAAGGACCAAAGAAAAACACCTCGTTATCGTAGAATATACATTTCTAATCTGATCATGTTTTTAGAGTAACCAAATTAGAGCCAATCCCTTATTTTCCATGTAATTTTTGCCTCCTTCCTTTGTGTTCTGGCACATACACATGTGCCTTGTAAAGCTGCTTCCCAAGAGACATTTAGGAAAAGGATTCTGCTCCAGCATTACAACTTGGAGGACTCACACCTTTTTGGGGGGTTGGTATAGTCTATATGCACTTCCAATCACCAGGTACCAATCAATCAAGAAGCATAATCTGGACTGGCGGACTGGCTCAAGTGGTAGTGCCTGCTTAGCAAGCGTGAGGCCCTGAGTTCAAACCCCAGTAGCACCAAAAAAAAAAAAAAAAAGCAACACAATCTATGAACAGAAATGAGGGCTTTAGAACTGGGATGATTTCCCATGTTATATCAAACACTATGGATATAATCTGGATGACTAAAGCTTCATGATAACTTCTTAAAATATCCTTGAACATTTATAATCTTTATCACATCAACTACTAAAATAACACTGTACTTCTTAGGTTACCACAGAATGTTGAACACATACTTGTGTGCTTTAATAAGAATCAATCATTGGCCAGGCATAATGGCTCATTCCTGTAATCCCAACCACTCAAAAGACGGAGGCAGCCAGGTGCCAGTGGTTCATGCCTGCAATCCTAGCTACTCAGGAGGCAGGGATCAGGAGGGTCTCGGTTCAAACCCAGCCCAGGGGGTAAAAGTTCGTGAGACCCTATCTTGAAAAAAACCCATCACAAAAAGGGGCTGGTGGAGTAGCTCAAGGTGTAAGCTCTGAGTTCAAGAGCCAGTAACGGAAAAAAAAAAAGGTAGAGGTAGGAGGATCTTAAGTTGACAGCTTGGGCAAAGTTAGTGAGACCCTATCTTAACAAAATACAAACAAAAAGGCGGAATGTGCAGCACAACTGTAGTATGCTTGCCTTTGATGCATGAGGCCCTGGGTTCAATCCCCAGTACCTCAAAAAAAAGAATCAATTCATTGGATATTGCACAGAATGAAAGTGTTCTAATGGCCACTCTCCTACTATGGCAACACAGATACCCTGGCAAACACCAGTTTTGCAAATGTGTTCTGTGGGGCAGCACACTGCACCGCCTCCCCTACTCCCTTAGCACCAAACTAAAGCTATAACATCATAACGTTCAAATTCATGACTACATACTGACTAAATCTATCTGCATCACCATGTATTATGACTTGAGATAAGTAATAAAAGTCGATTAATCTTGTACTGAATGTTTAATAGGAAGCTGGGAAGGCCTCCCCCTTGTAAATGCTGTGAGCCTGTGAGAAGCCACACAGTGCAGAAATCTGAGCTCTGTTCCACAGGGCCCACAGAACAATTCCACTAATACCTGCATCAGGAGCACTAATAGTTTATATGTGCTCTGAGTACACACCTGTCATCCTATGGAAAATCTTTACTAGTTAAATAGAATTGAAATTCAACCATTCCAGTGGAAATCAACACAGAGTAGTTGAGCTGTGAGTCAAAGTGACACATTAGTCAATGGAACAAAGTGTAGGGAAAAGAATGAGGAAAACAGAGTTTTATTTCCTAAACTCTACTAACTGAATGCAGATCTTTAAAAAATGCTTTGTATGTCAGAATTCAAAGTATCTCTAGGTAGCCTGTATGTTTTTTCACTTCCTTATAATATTAAATAAAGAAAATGATATCCAGGAAAGTGTAAACCTCTGTGGGGCTCAACCTAGCCATGTGTAAAATAAGGACACTGTAGGATACGTTCTCTAAAGTAATAAACAGACCTAATTCTATTGTAGATCCTAAAACGACATGAGGCCAAACAAACATTCTATTAGACTTCTCAAATTAGATAGGAAGTATTCTTTAAATGGTCAGACATACATATAGACACACACACACACACACACACACACAGAAGATACATGTAGGTCAATTACAAATGTCAAAAAAGTCACTTAATCTTAGCCATGTGGCCAAAATAATTTTCTGAGGCTTCTTCTCTTCCTGTGCAGCTCATTCTAATGCTGTCTATGATACTATGCTTTCACAGCAGCTACAAAAAAATGGAAATGTTGGTGACCCCGGAGAGAGGCTGGGCACTTGTGCTTCTCCTGGGGCTCATGACACAGCAATGCAGAGAAAGTGGAACAAAGCAAAGAGCAGATGTTTGCAGTTACACTGGTCAGCAGGGATTCTGGCTGCTTTCCAAAGAAAGCACGTGAGGTCACGAGGAAGAGATTCACCAAGATGTGGTGAGACATCCATAATAAGGAACTAGGTGTTTTTCTGTGTCCAGACCAGTGAGATACCTACAAGGCTTTGACGGTATCTCAAAGTGACCAATGTGACAGGAACTGAGATGAACTGAAACAGATCAACAGTCTTCAGCAGGAAAACCAAAGTCTATCTACTGGGTTATGTTTCTTCTAGGATGCTCATTCCGGTATCTCTTCAGGAACTGGAAGACAGTCCCCATAGTTATGTATGTATTTCCCAACTAGCAAATTCACATTTATTAATTTTGCATTCAAATTAGGCTATGATTGGAGGCCACAGCACAGCTCTAAAGGAATTCCAAGATGGAATAGAGTAGAAACAGGATTTCTGTTTGCAATGAACATTTTATAGTTTTATTCATGATCTTTGATTACACCAAAGGGCACATTTCCCATTAGGCACCCAGAATGACAACATGCATTCAGAAGATAATCAAAACTGCTTCTTAAACTATCAGTGATATTCAGTGGAAGAATCAGAATTTTTAAGTGAAAATATTTAAATTTCTGATCACCTTGATTCCGAAGCAGTGTCCTGTCTAATACAACAGGAAAACAAAGAATGTCATTAGCACGCAGAGAGAAGTACATCCCAAATCAGGGCTTAGAATAAAGAAGCATGCCTTAAGTCATCAACGAGGTTACTTCAACAATAATCAGTTTTTGAAAATATCATTTACTTTGATCAATGTACTTCAATATAAATAATTTTTAAAATATAAGTTGAAAGGAGTAATGAACATACCTGTTGAGGGAAAGGATATATTTATTTGATAAATGGATGTTAGAAACATGGTATCATCATACACAATTATAGTTTAACCATTAAACAATGAAACAATGTTAAGTTTTTAAAAATTAATTTTAAGATAAAACAAAAATATACTTATTTTTTTCCTTTATCATTTCAATTCTGTGCAAATGAACCTACTAATCAACGAGTATTTTCTCGGTCTGATTTCTCTTAAAAACAGTAACCTAACATGGTTTTAATAATTCAGGACAGTGGTCTTATAGAAGAAAGTTTAATTTGATTTTAAAATTTCTAACTAATAATGGTATCGTTAGTCTATATGCTACCTTATCTTATTCCTCACTTGCCTGCATATTTAGACATTTTATGTAATTAATAGGATAGCAAGTAGTCAAATGGCAAGAATATTGTAATTGGTAGTATTATGCAGCCCCGCCCCCCCATTATTCTGAATAGTTTCAGATACCACAGTTCGTGATCTTCTCTCTGAGTAAATGTTATTATGAGGGATATAGAGTTCAGAAACCACAGGATTAAAACCATGCTCTTTAATATCTTTGTTCTCAGGAAATATACCCCAAAGTATTAAGAATTAAGGACATGACACATGCAAACTAATGACTTAGAATGAAGAAGTATACATACAAATGCAGCTCTGCACACAGAGATTGTTATGTAAATGGACAATGACAACGCACACCCAGTGTAGCAAGACGTTAAACATTAATCTAGAAAAGGGATTAAAAGGAAACCTCTGTAATATGTTTTTAACATTTCTGTAAATTTGAAATTACTTCAAAATACAAAGAAAAAACTTCTCTCTCCAAGATTTCAACTAGTAACTAAGTGACTTACAAGTTAAAGTAAGCCTAAGAGTGTGATTTGTCCAGTAATTTTACTACTTTGTAGCTATTCATCAATAATGCATATGTCTGCATAACTATGCATACAGGATTAATTTAACTAAGACATATTGTAAGCAATTTTTAAATGTCACAATATACCCCAAGTATAACAATAATATAAGGAAAAAAAAATTTTAAAGGCAGCACTCTTTTCAAAACCAAAAACCTATAAACAACCACATATCCATTCACAAAAGCATGGATAAACTGTGATATATTGAGTGAAATACAATGCAGAAATAAAAGTGGATGAACTAAAGAGCACATGAAATCAAGAATGAACCTCACAAAGTACTGCCAGTGAAAGAAGCCAGATGTAAAAGAATAGATGCTGTATTATTCCATTTACATACAGTTCAAACCCAGGTGACACTAACCTGTGTTCTGGGAGGTCAGTGTGGTCGTGGTGGGGTGGGAAGATAAAGAGTTGCTGCAGGGAGCTGGCAGCCTTCCAACTATCACCTGGATGACGGTGACATTGTGGTGCATTCTGTGATGACCCACTTAGCTGTAATGCTTAGGACTGTGGTGTTTTTAAATGAAAATGATTTTTTCAAAGTATGCTTTGGCCTAATGATTCTATGGTGTCAAGCTAAGAGTGTACAAAAAACACTCGGACTTTTAGAATTTCTCGCATCCAAGACAAGATGTAAATGCAATGAGAATGATTTTTGGTGACATTGACAATTAAAAAGTTCTCTGCATGTGTAAATTAATACTTCAAATAACACAGCTACCAAAAGAATCAACTTTCAACCCCAAATTAATGCATACTTGCTCTCTGACTTCACTATGCTAGAATGAAGTCTCCAGAGCTATGGGGACAGTGATTGTTGGCAAGAATGACACGTTCAACTGAGCAGGGCAATCCCTGCAACACAAACAACCCTAACAGGAGAAGTCCTGGCTTCTGTACTTTCCAACCTATTCACAGCCAACCTTTGGCCTTCCTTATGGCTATTTCTACCATCGCTTTCCAGGCTTGGTTCTGTTGAAGGAAAGAATTTAGGATTCTCTTTATAATCACTTGAACTAACATAACAATAAGAAACTGCCACTAGGTTGACTGGAAGTGTTGTGTTCTGATCAGGAGGCAATATTACAGAAATAAGGCAAACTGACACTTTTATGTATGTACATTCCACATTCTTGGTTCTCTAAATTCACTGTATGTTCCAAATATTATATCATTTTTGTGGCTAACTTCCTTGAAAACTTCTCCATAAGGTTGTTCCTAAAACCTCTTTACAATAAATTCTTCATCTATTCTCTATACCAGAAAACAAATTCAGTGTTATCAAATATGACTTGTACTAATTCAGAGGAAAGTTCAGATTCATAATGTATTAATCCAAATTATCTTTCTTGGAATGAAA